TTGAAGTCCACTCATCTTAAAGTGGCCAAGTTTGGACAACACTGCTCTAAGTCAATCAAAGCTGTTAAAATAGACAGGTTTCTTCTTCGGGTGCTTAAAAAATAAGTGTTGAATTTTGTTTTTAAAAGTTGACTTAAATGAAAACCCTTTTTTCTTAAAGCTGAGCAGTGTAATCCCAGGCATGTCCACTCAGAATTAGGAGAGGACAAATTAGTTAGTATGCTATTTACCCCCCAATAGAGTTATTTTAAGAGAAAACAAACTGTAATATTCTTTTTATCTCATTTATGGAGATAAGATATGTTGGTGGGTTTTCCAGATAGGTAGATAGATAAGTAGGAAGATATATGGATAGGTAGATGACTAGGTAGGCAAACTGATAGAGAGGTAAAATTAGAGTCAGAAGGAGGAAGAGACACAAGTAATTAAATGCCCATCTAATCCTACTGAAATTCAGTATAAATATTTAACTTTAAATTAAATTTAAGTATAAGTATTAGCAGTATAAGTAGCATATAAATATAATATTGATTTTATGAAATAAGTCTTTCAATATAAATATTTAAATAAGTGTTTTCAGATTTACCATATTGCATTCTAAAGCTATCAATGGAGACACTGATGGAAGCACATGAGATTCAGCTCACCATAATTCTGCCCCGATAAGCCCAACTGACAATTATCTGCAGGCTGTAGATTTCAATCTTGACCACCCTTTTAGGGGTGCTGGACCAGCCCCCACGATGTAAGTTCTGGACCAAAATCTGGAAATCAACCAAACCTTGGCTCTTCTTACTCAGCCCAGCAAACGTGTAGAGACAGGTGCCCTGGAAGTTAAAACTGTGTCCATCGAAGCCATGATAATGGGAGTGACCAATGGCAGAACATGTGCTGTAGCTCACTGGATAGCAGTCCTGGATGCCGTTCTTCACCTGACATTGCTCTTTCTGCCTGCACGCGGTGGCCTGGCACTTCACATTCTTGGTCTGCGGATCGCAGGAGCAGCGCTTCGTGCACGTGCTGTCTCTCCAGATCTGCTCATTGGGAGCCAAGAGGCGACCCTCAAAAAGACAGCCACAGGCAGCTGGTGGGATGCATTTCCCAGCATCCATCACAAAGCCATCCTTACACTGGCAAGACTCCACGCATTGTGAAGAAGAACAGTGGGATGGAAGGTCTTGATTACTGCAAGTGGCAGGACAGGGTGACCCACAGACTTTATAGAGGCTGTTCTCAGGGCAGAATAAAGCTATGGGTGAGGAAAGGAAGACTGGTAAACATCCATTTTTTCATATCTTACTCCTATGACAGGTTTCAATTTTTGGAGTACCCCCACACAAAACAGCCTCTATTTAACCAGATTCTCTAGAGCAGAAGTTCCTAACTTTTCTGGGCTGTAGGCGCACTTAAAATGTTGACAGTGTGTGCTTTCACAAACTAACTGTCAGGGGAGGGAGTTTGTCCATTCACCAAATCAAATCCTCTTAGCTGGGTAATCATTCCCATGACTCTGTTCCCCATTAATATTACTACAAAATCAAAGAGTGAGTAAAAAAAGTGTGGAGCGTGCTAAAGAATTTGCATGCTATACTAGATAACTCTTGATTCCTCACGGTGACAATGATGGATGCGCATTGAGTTCAAAAGATAAAAATTAAGTAAAAGGGGAATCTCTCTCTTTTCTTCTCTAAACCTCAAAGGTACAGGAGTCATTTACCATGAATGTCCCATTATTCCTCATTTCTGATACCTACTGATAAATGTGCCTCCAATGAATTTGTGTAGTCTTTTTCAAAAGATATTGAAATGAATGGGCTGTTGTGGGATACATTAATTGAAGTTGACCTGGAGTTAGTCATTCCACAAGAGGGGGAAAGGCTGGGCTTTCTAAGTAACTGTTAAGATTTGTTATTATTGTATTCATCCCACTGTATGACAAAGTTTCAAGTCAATTTTTCTCAGCCAGGGCTCTTTTCAGGTATTCTAGACAACAATTCCCATCAGTCCCTGCCTAACGCATCTAGAGGAAAGCTACCCCAAGCAAACAATTTCTACTCACGGCATCCGGTGAGGTTCCTCCAGTCAAACACAACTCCACCTTCTTGCTGGCAGGCATCTACATAGCTCTTCAGCGCTTGACACAAAATCTCTCTATGGCCTTCATAGACAAAGAGGTCATAGGCACAATTTTCCACAAAGATGTCAGGATCAACCAAGGAATGGCAATTTCTGAATGGGCCACCTTCTTTTTTGCTGATCCAGCCACAAAAAGTTTCACCTCTGTATTTAATCAGCTTTTCCCCAGGGATATTCTTACATTGTCCATGGCAGTCACTCCAGCACAATGGGTCTCCATCCTCCACTTTCCAACTCTGCCCAAATTCCACAGGACCTGGGGCCAAGGATCCACTGGGGGTCCTGAAGTCATCAGCAGGTTTTCCATTATAGTCACCACACAGGCCACAAACATTCTCAAAGAAACTACTGGAGATCTTCACTGCAAAGCCGCTGTTCCAGTTGTAGGACACCGTCAGTGAAAAGTCCGCCTTAATTATGACAGAAGTCCCACTTTGGAAGAGCCATACTTTCCCCTTGAGCAGGGAGACAGGCAGTCGGGAGCGCTGGTTATTCACCTGGTGCAATAAGTGTGTTAAAGATTCACCCGAATGTACTTCAAGTACAGATAACAACTCAAAGAATCAACCACTGTTGAAAAGCGGAACCATCCACTCTTAAAAAGTCACTCACCTATACAGTTTGGGCTGAAGTTCAGAACTATGCAAGAATGCTCAGAATAGAAGAATGTTCAATCCCCATAGGACTCGACCATCCCAGAATGCAGATGGGGAGAAGTGCAAGTTTGACCATTTTAGATTTTTTTTTTTTAAGGCTTCTCTTCTTACCCTCAGAAAACTAGCACCTCAGGGATAAATGTTCTAATCCAGCTTTCATTTAGATCAGTTAGTTTTCTACATACACAAAAACCTTTGGAAAAAGCAATGCTTTCAGTCATGCCATTTCATCTCTCCCCAGCAGAATTTCATACGGAAGGGAAATTGCAGCCAAAAATATAGCTTTCTAATACCATTTCATATTATGTGTCTTTCGGTGACCAGCCATAGTTTCAAGCATAGATCCTTCTCATTGTTCTAACTAGCATTTCTAAGAATCGTACCTGGGATCTTTGCCAAGCAAACATAGGCCTTACTTGTGAGATTTGCTCCTACCACTATCATAGTACTAAAGACAATCACATAACATATTGCAAATTGAATGATGACATTGCCTTTGGTGAATATATTGACAGTAACATCTGAAATATCATGCATTTACATGCTCAGTCAGTTCCCATGTTTGGAACAGAATGGGATCACGTTCTTACACTGTGTATGACATCATGTCATCATCAGCTTTACCTTACGATCTAAACTATTTGCTGAAGACAAACAAAAATTTAACATCTACCTGAGGCTGCTGGGTGAGGTGATCCTATGGTTTGGGGTAAGGTATCAGTATCCTGATGACACCCAGCTTTATATCTCTACCCCAGACTGCCAGAGTAATGCCATGGATGTCCTATCCCAGCGCCTGGAGGCTGTAGAGGCCTGGATGGGGTGCAATGGGCTTCAGCTCAACTCAAGCAAGACTGAGTGGCTTTGGGTGCTTGGGTCTTCTGGAATCAAGGATTTTCCATCTTTGGTCCTGGATGGGGTGGCAGTGCCTCAGACAGACCCAGTGCACAATCTGGGGGTCCTCTTGGACTCATGGCTCTTGCTGAATGAGCAGGTGGTAGCCAAGGCTTAGAGAGCCTTTGCACACCTCTGGGTTGTGAGCCAGTTGCACCCATTCCTGGATCGGGAGGCTCTGCTCAACCAGATTATTGCAATGCACTCTACATGGGGCTGCCCTTGAAGAGCATTTGGAAGCTGCATGGGTAGTAAATGGTGCTGGCTACTCAGCACATGTAACACCACTACTGCGTGAGCTGCACTGGTTCCCAGTGTGTTTCTGGGTGCAATTCAAGGTGCTGGTTGTCACCTTTAAGCCCCTTCATGGCTTGGGACCGGATTACCTGAGGGACCATCTTCTCCCAGTTGTTTCTACCTGTCCGGTCCAGCAGGATGGGCATGCTCTGGGTCCTGTCAGCCAAGGAATGTCAGCTGGCAGTGCCAGGAGACATATCTTCCCTGCCATAGGGCCTGCCCTCTAGAACATTCTCCCTCCAGAGATTAGGATGGCCCCGACCCTGTAAGGCCTTGAAGATCTGGTTATATGCCCAGGCCTGGGGCCCAAAGTGTGTTAAGGGCCCCATTTCCTGGTTATGTTAACATTTATGGATTATATTTTCTCGGCTGCTGTATGTATTTATTTTTTTATATATTGTGATTGTAATTTGGCTTTAATTGATTTTATGATTGTTCGCCGCTCAGCGTCACTTATTTGAGATGGGTGGCCATACAAATTGATTGATTGATTGATTGATTGACTGATTGAATGAATGAATGAATGAATCTTTCTCTTTCTTTCTTTCTTTCTTTCTTTCTTTCTTTCTTTCTTTCTTTCTTTCTTGGTGGAGGTACCAAAATCAGAGAAAGGAGTGAGTCTTGGCAAATGCTCAATATTTCCTCAAAAAATTAGACTTGGCTTTGGTGCAAATTCAAGTCTCCTGGAAATACGTTAAATATTCAAAGCCAAAAGTAGTGGAATTAAAAATAGGATCCACTTCTCCAAAGGTGATGAATTTTCTTTGATTCAAAATCTACACTGGCTCCCTGGATACCTCTTGAAAATCAAGAGGTAAATTTAAGCAACTTAACTTGTAGGAGCAGAAAGGGGATGTGCTATTTAATCACCGGCAGCATATAACCCAAATTCCAGTTCACTAACATATAAAACAACCAGTTAGCAGCCTGATACATTTTCCATTCTTGCTGCCTGATGTTAACTCCCCCTCCCCAACCTAGATATCTGCTGTTTGCGTGTACTTCAGCTTTCAGGACTCCTCAGCTAACCTAAACATGGTTAAGAAGGATCCCCTTTCTGCTCCTACAAGTTAAGTTGCTTAAATTTACCTCTTGATTTTCAAGAGGTATCCAGGGAGCCAGTGTAGATTTTGAATCAAAGAAAATTCA